AAAAATCCTCTTACATTATAAATATAATTTTCAACTAATTTTTTTATTTTACATGTATCACGTCATTATTTAAAATAATATTTTTTAAATAATCTTATATGGTATTATTTCAAATAATATGTTTCAAATAATCTTATATTTTTCAAATATCAAGTATGTAAGAGTAGTAAGTTTTGAAATATCCAATTATATCCAGACATATTCTTTCAATAAATCTTATATCCAATTATAGTTCAAGTTATTTACTTATAAAGTTTTGGATCTTGAATTGCTTTTTATACTTGATACTGCTTGTATTTAATTAGATTAGTCTTTTTTTGCATATTATTAGATTAGCTTTTTTTGCTACTAAATAAGAAGATTTATAAGTAGAAGATGCTGGATTCCTTTCATTTGAAAAAATGATTAATCTATTTACATAGAACAAAATCCTCAAAAAAAGTATAGTTATTATCTTTTTTTACAATTATTTTCGAAGTTAAACGTAATTCCTTCCTTGCCTAGCTGTTTGTAAATTTCAAAATTTTAACAAAGATCAAAAGAGGACTGGACTTGTACGGATTTGAAGGGTCCATTTCTATTAATTTGCCTAAAGTCGGTAAAACCTCAATAAAACCTAATTTTCCATGTCGGATGGAAAATTACTAGGCATTGTGCCCCGCGAGTTTCGCGGGGTGCCCATTATTAATTGTTTAAGAGTAATGTAAGATTTATATAATAATTAATGTTTAGAGTGTTTTATATGATAGTGGGGTTGGAATAATAAATAGAGGAATAATATATTGGATTAATATATTTATAAATAGATATAGTAATATTGTTGTGATTTGTATTTAATTTTTAAGAGTAACAGGATGTAAATATTATTTAAATTAATGGAATGTAAATCATTTTTTAAGAGTTGAGATAAATTAATAATTCGAAATAATTTCGATATGTTTATTTTTATATTGTTAAATATAAGTGGAAGCAGAATAAAGAAAATTTAGGGAACAGATAATTGCTATGTGCAAGAAGCTGTAGTGGACACGTTTAATTATGATTGTTGGATAAAGTCTCTACTGAAGAGTTGCCGATGATAATTATTTTCATTGAGCAAGGTGAACAGGATGACACTTCCTTCATGTAAGAAGTGTTTTTGTGCCAATATTGGCCAACTTTCTGTTATTTCTATTCCTTCTAACTGAAAGATCCATCGAGTTTTAGTATGATAGCAATTGATGACTCCTATGTTGACTGTTTGTATATGCGAGGGTATATCACCAATGAATACATGAGATAGAAAATAGGGAAAAAACGTAGTTGTATTATGAAATGAGAGTAGCAATGTAGTGTATGAATTATATTGATTGGAATGTAATTTATATGAAACTCACCAAAGATTCAAGATTGTGTGTTAGATAGTGGAAGAGTTTAGTATTAGAAAAACTAAAAGAAAAGAAATATAGTGAAGAATATAAATTCATAAATATAATATATACAAATTAAGGATTTTTAACAATTTGAAATTATAAATTTAGAATCATATATTTGTATTTATTGATCGAATAATTTTTTTGAATCAATAAATATTGGATTGATTTATTTTTAAGTTTATATATATTAGATACATGTCAAGTACATATGATTTTCATTCATTTGTATTAATACGAAATAGCATAATCAATTTATATATATTGACTGGATACACATAGAATTTGTATTCATTTGCATATATTAGATGCACGTAGGTTTTTTAGCGATTTGCATATTTTTTTCATATTTAATATTTTTGCTAATATATACATTTTTGAGAAAATTAATTAAATTTATATATATTAGATACATGTTAAGTACATATAATTTTCATTGATTCGTATTAATACGAAACATCATAATTGATTTATATATATTGATTAGATACACATAGAATTTTTATTCATCTGCATATATTAGATGTACGTAGGATTTTTAGGAATTTGCATATTTTTCATATTTAATATTTTTGCTAATATATATTTTGGAGAAAATTAATAAATAAGCGAATAAATATAAAAAGAAGGCTATTTTATGTATTAGATATGCATTAGCATTTTTAGTGATTTGCGTATTTTTTTAATAGTTAATATTTTGATCAATATACACACTTTCGACAAAATTAATAAATAAGCGAGTTAATAAAGAAGCAGATAAATATAAAGAAGGAGAGAAAATTATAAATATAGAAATAGTCTCGAAATTACAATGGTTAGAGTAGTACTAGTCCAAAAAATTCTTGGAACGCATAAAAATTGCACAAAATCTGTTATATGACACTAATCTATGCCATGTTAAAGCATTACACATAGACGAGAGTATCTACTGATATTCCAAGCTTTTGATTTCTTGTCCGGGCTTCGTTTGGATTGAAGGAAGGGAAGGGAAAGGAAAGGAGAGAATATCAATGGAAAAGAAAGGAAAGGAAAGCAGAGGAAAATGGTTTGCTTCCATCTTATTTGGATTAAATATGGAAGGAAAAGAAAAAAAATACTGAATTTTTATTTGGATTGAAGAAGGAAAAAAAAAAGAAAAGAAAAAAATAAGTGTCAACTTAGTGAAAAAGATAGAGAAAAACAAATGATCTTTTGAAAATATTTAAATTCATTTCAATTAATTTCCCCGTTTCCGCCCACTTTGGGCCGAAAATATAATTTAACAAAATAAAATAGTTAGAGCCTTCCCCTCTCTTTTCCTCCTTATTCTTTTCTTTCCGTGCTCAAAAGTCAATTGAAACAACAAAATATGTTTCTCTCCCATGCTCCAAACTCCACAGGGGAAAAGTGTGACTTTCCTTAATGTTGAGGAGGCAAATTGTAATTAACCCTTCAAAAAATCAGAAACTAATACTAAGAAAGGGTTTCGTTCTTTCACTCTACCACTATCACTGGAAAAAGACTAGGTTAGGTTCCGTTTGATAAAACTGGATCTGGATTCTGAAGTCTGAATTCTGAAATCTGAATACTGAAATAATTAATTTGCTGAATTTTAAGCACTGAAAAAAATATATGAATGTCTGAATTTTAATGCTAAACCTATTTATATTGTTTGATAAATATTTATAGTTGAATGCTTAATAAGTTTAATTTGACAATTTTGCCCTTATATCTTTCATTCAAAAAAAAAAAAAAATCTATGATTTAATTAGTTTAAATTTGTTAGGTATGAAAATGATAATATTTATTTTTAAATCAAATTAATATAAAAGATGAAATATATTATATGAGGAGTATGGAGAAGATGTGAAAGTCATTAAAAAGATAGAAAGAGAAACTAAAAATCGTTAGATAGAGAATATTAGGTTATTTAATTAAATAAGAATTTTGAACATAATTAACAAACAAGGGTGGATTTGGTACATAAGATAAGGTAGTTGAAGTAATTCTATTGATTCTTATCAAAATTAAGCATTCAGTTAGGATTCTTGTGCTGAAAAAAATACACACAAGTTCAACACTGCTTAACAAGTTCAGCAAATTGATTTTCATTTATCAAACACTCAAAACATCTGAATGTCTGAAACAATTCAGATTCAGCACTTTTTTATGTTATCAAACAGACCCTAGGGCTGAGAGCTTTATCGAAAATCTTCCCAGAAAAAGGTTCATTCGCTTTCTGTCTCTGCTTCTTCCGAAATTCCCCAAAGTTTTTGTTCCGACTCTCTTGTGCCTCTAATCAAGTAAGCTTTTTTCTCCGGCTCTGAAGTTGTTAACGACTGTTATGTATTATTCGCATTTGTATGTAGTATGAATTGTATCTGCTTTGTTTTCTTATTGGGATGATTTTTATATTCGTATCAAGTATGTTGAAAATTTTGATAACTTTTGGTCTTAATTATTGCTTCTAGTAATTAATGTTTAAGTAGGGGCTAACACAAGGTAGTATTATAACACTTATTATATGTTAATACAAGGTAGTATTATTAATTTATATATATTAGATATAGGTTAAACACATATAATTTTTATTGATCTGCATTAATGCAAAACAGCATAATTGATTTATGTATATTGATTAGAAACATATAGAGTTTTATTCGTTAGTATGTATTAGATATACATAGGATTTTTAGTGACATGCGTAATTTTTTGATATTTAATATTTTTTTTCAATACACACACTTTTAACAAAGTTAATAAACAAGTGAGTTAATAAATAAGCGGATAAATATAAAGAAGGACGGAAAATTATAAACATAGAAATAGTGTCGAAATTATAATTATTTCACATAAATAACACTTATATATGTTAATACAAAGTAGTATTATTAATTTATATATATTAGATGCATGCTAAATATATATGATTTTCATTGATCTGCATTAATACAAAACACAATAATCAATTTATATATATTGATATATATTGATTAGATACATATAGAATTTTTATTCGTTTGTATTTATTAGATGTACATAGGATATTTAGCAACTTGCATATTTTTTTGATATTTAATATGTTTGTGTATATAGCAACCTGCATATTTTTTGATATTTAATATGTTTGTTAATATACACGTTTTAGAGAAAGTTAATAAGTAAGGGAATAAATATAAAAAAGTGGTAAAATTGTAAACATAAAAATACTTTGGTCAATATACACGGCTTGAAGATAGCAAAACGACGGGAGGAAAAGATCGAAGAAACAAAAGGACAAAATTGATTGGCAAATTACAAACGAACCAAGGGAAAGGGTACAATGGGAACAAAGCAACAAAAAAAGAAATGAGGACAAGCGGAACAGGAAGCAAAGCCGCTGCATGGAGCCTGCGAAAAGACCAAAAAGGACGAAATCAGCTGCGAAATCACAGCGAAACCGGCACAATTAACTGTAGCTCGACTTTGGGCGCTTTATGTAGTTTAGGATAGGATTTCGGCGCTTTATGTAGTTTAGGATTTAGGATAGGATTAGGATAGGATATGAATAAGTTAACTACAAAAAATCAAAAAAAAAAGAAAAAGGTCAAAAAGGAACAACAATAAACTGAAAACCTTAAACCCTCCTCTCAACTTCTGAAGTCGGTAGTTAGCTAACCTCTTAAAGTTAAACCCTCCCCCCTTCTCCCTCCCTTTTCCAGAGATTGAGCTTGGGTGAGGCACCAATGGCGACGCCCGCGGACGCTCGAGCCGTAAAGTCTCTAAACACAGGCGAGGGAAGCAAGAAATTTGTTGTAAGCTATCTATCTTTCTTAATTTTTTGTATGCAAATAAAAAATTGCAGTTCTTTTTATTCAAGTTGTTCATTTTTTTTCCTTCTTGGTTGACGAGAGTATTATGGAATTATTTTTTTTTTAATTCTGAAGTTTTTTTTTTGGGGTGGTGCAGTACAAGTCCAATGTTCAACAAATTGCAGAGATTGATATTAATGTATACCGAAGTTTGGACCCTGTTAAAGCTGAGCCTTCTGAAGGGTCCACGTTTTTTCGCGATTGCCTAGTTGAATGGAGAGTATGTTTCAATATTCTTCTATTTCTGAAGTAATTGTGATTTGAATTGTAGTTTTTTTTTGGTGTAACTTGTGCAGCTATTTCTCGAGGGTTCTTATTGGGGATATCAGTACATTTTTTGGCTGTTCTTTTAGGATAAAGATTTCATTTTTAGACGACAAGTAGGAAACATTAAAGTAATATGAGACATATTTTATTGGGTTTTGGAATTTGATGTCTGCACATCGGGAGAAACTGCTAAGCTTACATGAAAAGTGGGTAGCATTTCAAGAAAAGCTTTTTCATCTGCTTTGTTCCGACTTATTTGGTTTTAAACATCAGTTATAGGTGCCTGCTTATGTTTTTAAAGGATTCAGAAAGCCATTTGTGCAATATAAGCAATACATGGAATCTAGTTGTGGCTTTCTTTTTTTCTGCCATATATCTTTCAAAAAGTTCATTTTTTATTCAGAAGCTAGAAAATTATTTTTATTTTGAGTGTGTTAGTTTGGGAATTTCAATTGGTAAGGGGGATTTTTCAGGGGGTTTTGCGGTGCTGGACAATGTGCTTTGGAGATGTTGATGATGCTGTGTAGAATCTTGGTGGTTTTGATGTAACAGTGACTAGATGAGGATGACCCTTCTGGCTTTGTGGACTAATCTACTGGCATATACAGGCAGATTAGTTTTAGTAGTTTTGGCACTGTCTTTAATCTACAAAGTTAATGTGAAATAAATGAAGGTGTGGTCCATATCTTGCTTGAGGTAGGAGGAGTAAATCAATGGCATCCTTTTGAAGTAGGAAGTGCTATTACTTCTAATGCACCAAAGAATGTTTTCAAGGCAAAGGAGTTTGTGTTAGGATAAGTAATTTATGAAGGTGACATGATCAGAATCATGTTTAGCGAGGGTTGTTTTGAATATTTTCTGGAAGTTCTTGTTTTCTTCCTTTGGTATTTTTGCCTAGGCAGGAAGGTCTAAAGAAGATTCTTGGCATTGTTCCATATTGGTTTTCAGCCTCTATGTTACTGTGCTGGAAACTATCCACAAGGTTATGGATCTAATGTATGGCATGGCTGGTCTGTCTGCTTCTGTCTGGGTGTACTTGTCAGCAATTTATTATGTGTCTTGTATATTTCTAGATTGCTGTTTGTTTTGTCCTTTCTATCCAACTTCATATGATTATACCTTTTTTGAGATAGCAAAAATTTGTACACTTCCATCTCACATTTAAATTCTGCTGATATTGTTGTCTTTTTTTTTTTGACAAATGCAGGAATTAAATACTGCCGAGGATTTTATTTCATTTTATCAAGAAATGTTCCCCTTGGTACAAACCCTACCACAAATTATATTGCAAAGGGAATTGATCGTTTCAAAACTGCTTTCTAGATTACAAATAAAAAGCAGGCTATCACTGGAGCCAATACTCAGGTATTCTTGCAAATTTGGTGTTTATGTATGTTTTTGAAGAATTGTCTCATCGAGATTGGAAAATGGTGGAAAGGAAAAACAAATCAATGCTCAAGGCCTTTTTCTTTTTTGGTTCTTTAATATTATTAGTGTTTCCTGTTGTTTTAACTTGGATCATTGTAGGCATATGTTCTCGATATTGGAACTAAAATTTTTCAAGTGAAGATTTATTCTGAATATATACCTTTTAGAACTACACTAATGTATTTGTAGAGGCCTGAGTTAGTGAAATGGGTTTAATCACATCCACAGGTCTAAATTGACTGAAATGCTGGAAATTCTTGTGGATAATGACTAGGAAGACTACTAGATTATATTCGTTAGTATGACTATAAAAATTGTTAAAGATAATTTTTGAATCTAAGACTCCGTTTGGATTGGCTTTTTTCAAAAAATAAGTTTTTCAAATACAATATTACAGTAATATACAATAATTCAAAAAATATCCCATCTATATTAGTATATCAAATATTTCAAAAAAAAATTTATAGTAAAAATTTTTCATATACACTACTACAATAAAATATTTCAAAAATACCCCCCAAAAATAACTAATCCAAACGGAGCCCTTGCTATTTGAGCCCAATGGGTACCAAGTAGTTCCCAAGATTTCCCATCAATTAATGGGTACAATTGGGATTTGTCTCATTTTAAACCCAATATCAAATTTCAGTACCCATCCCGCCCAAAGTCCCCATGGGCATGGGTAACCCATTGGGACTTGGGAAAAATTGCCACCTCTATGTAAATCTCTTCTAAATGTTAATGTGAACAAAAAAAAATTAACAATTGGCTTCTAAAACACCCACATGTTGTAATAATTATAATATTTAGCTCAAGAGTGAACATCTTGGCATCACTCATGGGGAGTTTTGAAATGGACAAGTGGAAGTGGGTGGAAAACTTCTCATTTTTTGACAAATTGACAAAAAAAAAAAAAAAAAAAAGAAGAAGAGAAGAAGGTCCCATAAGAGTCTTACAAATTAGTTAAAGGTCACATAACATAATTATATTTTCGTCCCAAACGCTGTCTACTTTCACTACGTTGATGTTCCCGTAAAGGTCTTTCTTTCAGGGTATTTTCCCCCTTGTCTCGAACCTATGAAGCACACACCATAGTACATTTCTAATCCATCTGTTTGTTAAGTTTTTACCTATAATTTAAAAGTTTAATTTATAAACATATAATAGGCTTTTTAAAAATTTTTAAAATTTTCATTAATCTTAATGTCCTTTCCCTCCATTTTCACCCACTTTTAGACCAAAAGTAAGCTGACAAAAAATAACTAAATCCTCTTCCCTCCCAATCATTTCCTCTCTCTCTTCAAAGACCAATCCCAAACATCAAAAATCATACACCCCTCCATTTCCTTTCCTTTCCTTTCCTTGCCCTCTTATTCCAGCAAAACAAATAGCTTGTTAAAGCCTCCTTTTCTTTCATCTTCTACCTTTTCTAACCCTAATTTAATGAATGAGGACTTTTAAGCTATTAATTTTTTTTTCGTTTGATCGGTTTTACCCCTAATTTTGTCACCTCTAACGGCCAAAATTGATAAAAGTCCTTAAATTGATCATTTCTTTTAATTCAAGGCTTCTTTGTGATAGTTTATAGTTGATTGGCTAAAATCATACACAAGCAATCGTTTTTATGGACCGTCCACAAAGTTTCCTCGTTAACTTTATACAGTGATCAATGACTTTTTGAACATAATGGCGTACAATGAAACCGCCATTGTTGAAGTCTAGATTATAAGAATTCAATCTCGGAGCTATATTTTATTTCGCAGCAACTTTTTTTCTCGCCTTTACATCAGTATTGTGGTTTCCACATTTCCACGATATTACCCAAATCACTTGTTTTATCAATAATATGAAGCCACCAAAAAAAATCCCTTTACCTAGTCTTTTTTTTTTAAAAAAAAATCTTGTTAAGAATAAAAGTTTAGGAAGCAAGTTGCGAGGTTGCCCAACCTTCAAGCCAGCAGTTCGTACAAATCTCTCACCAACAAAGAATGCATATGTCCAAGAAATGTGACTGGAGCCAACCCTTGTTGGCAACAATTCCTGTGAAGTACTCGTGTGGAAGTACATGTTGAATGAACACCACCGTATCCAATATAGTTAAGAATTCAGAATATTTTTAGAGGAGTGCAGCAGGAAAGAAACAGACATTGACAACATGAAAATAACATAAGCATTAGCTATCAAGCAATTAACTATAGGGTGTGTTCTATTAGATTTCAATTAATAAAGTTTACCTATCCAAAACAAATTAACTAATATGTGAGAATATTGAAGTTTAAGGACAAATTAGATTGTTGTGACATTAGGTTTGTTCCAGGTGATCTGAACTTCATCCAACTGGCTCACGAGCTTCAGCTTAATCACAATTTTCCCCATCCGTACGCGTACACACAGACCGCATATAAGTGAACACTCAATCATGGATATAGACAGATCGAGCAATGATCATCAATGTACTCCAAAATTAAACATCAGCAACATGAAACTAATGTAATATACCTATCATTAAACTAGATGGTTCGTGTACCAAACAAGCTATCTGCTGCTCTGAGGGTTAGACTACTTGTCTAGTGATAGGTATCTTTAGCAAGAGTAATCTCCGTGCCCTAGGGTAGCTAACTTCATTTCCCTCCAAGGAAGACAATATTGGATAACAGTCTAAGACAACTAATTACCTGCGCACACAGAGTTTCACCACGAAACTCAGCCCCTTTAAGTTGGCCAATGTGATCACTTCACAGGGAGAAAAGCTGGAAGCTATGTTGCTAACCATCTCAGCAACCTCCTTTTCGAGTCAATGATAAATTACCTAACCAAGCATTCCAAGGAATATAGAGAAGAAACAGGGAAGGAGGAAAGAAGATAGAAAAGGGAAGGGGGAAACCCAACCCCCCCCCCCTCTTCCCCCAAAAAAAAAAAAAACCAAAAAAAAAGAAAAGACAAAAGAAACATGAGGAAAGGAGCATTACAAAGTATCAAGTACAGAAACAAACTTCATCTTCAACCAAAATTGGACTTCAATCAAAATTGGACCAACAAAAATCAGTGAACAATCTATCATCAAAATTAACAGCAAAAGCTCCTGCCACTAGACCACCAGAATCCATGATTGCATACCTTCATACACAACCAGATAACACAATCTCGCCAAATTGATCAGTAAAGCACCACTTGATACCAGCTTGAGGACCTGCATGTTCTTGAAATGTAACAGGCCCACCAAAACCATCAAATGCAAATCTAAAATGAACTATTATTGCCCAAAAGCCCCTATTAACATAGAGCTCTGCCCGCTGCTTATCAATAACAAATTCAAGAAGAAAATAGAAAAATATATCCAATAAAAAAGAACAAAGGGAAAGAGGTGTAAGATGACCTATCTCCCCACAAGTAAACAAATATTCTGTAATAAAAATAATAGATTAATTCCTACCGTGCAGACTATAGTTCTCCTTATTCCAAACTGTATACTTCACCAACGAAAAAAGAAGGGGAACAAAAACTCACAACAGCTAAGAGTTCTAATGTTTTGAAACAGTTTAAAGATAGGTGGCTGGTTCCTCTAACCACAGATTTCCTAAAGGACAAGCAAATACCATTCAAGAGGAAAGAGATGCAGGACAAAGTTCAGTAGTAACACAATTAAATGAGTCACCAGTATCCTTAAAAAGAGAAAATCCTTAAACAGAGACAGCATTGAACAAACTCACTACCTACTGATGAAGGTAAGAGATCAGCTTAGATCAAGCTCATACAGTAGTTCCATAAATTATAGCTCAGTTGATTTAAATAGGCACAGGACTTCCTGAAATATGATAGCAAGATAGCTTCAGAATACAGCAACTCCACTCCATCAACAACCTGCAATCAGGAGAAGAAGGAAGGGAAAAAAAAAAGGTAATTATCACAAGAGAGCCACATATCATCCTAATATTTGGGAGCAGAAAAGAAATTGAGGATCTTCCAAGAGAAACCCAGATCTTCCTCTTTTCGCAGCCCTTTCCACACAAGCCTAAACTTCAAACCGAGTTACTTCAAAGTACAGGTTGCTTTTGATGCATTAGCAATCCTCCATTACACAAAATAAATACCATTGCCTTTGGTGACAGCATTTCAAACTAGTTCACGTTTCTTGGTAAGGTTTAGTTCTGTCACAGTAGCCTCGGTTCTCTCATAGTCACGCTCATCCCTTTTATTGATTTCCATATGGCCATCATCATTTTCTGAATCATTTAAGTCCTTAGGACCAGGTTCCATGGAGGAATCATCTGATTCAGTGGGTCTTTCCTTCAGATGTTTCACATTCTCATGCTTAGTTTCCTGCACACCATTATCACTCGAGTGATACTTGTGTTCTGTCGACCTTGACCTTGAGCGCTTCCTATGTTTTGTTTTCCGTTCATCAGTCCTTCTAGGCGACATCC